TATATGTTCATTGTACACAGTCCTGGGTTTACATAAGGGCACATGTACACAGAGGACAGAGAGACCTTTTGTTTTAGATTTTCTAGATCTCCCTTCTAATGAGTCATTCAGATGGCATCCCTTTGGGGGAAACATGTCCTGGACCCATGTGTCAGAGCTGGAGAATTTGATGGCCCAGGGAATCCTGTTGTTTATCCTGACAGCCCAGACGAAAAGTGCTTGACAAGCGGGAGATGAAAACTGGATGAATATAGAAATAGTCTGATTTGAAATAAGGTTCCCTGCACCTAACAATCTGATATCCGTGGAACACTAATGCAAAGAAATCGCTGCAATCATCCAGTGTTCCACCACACCACGGAAGCTGAAGGAAACAGCGTTTCAGTGCCACTGGGACACACCGTCCTAAGCCCTTTACGTTGTTGTTTGAGGTTTTCTTTACTTTTGTTTTGTGTGCATCAATGCCTGCCCAAGTGTATATCGTATACCATATGCATGCTGTGCTCACGGAGGCCAGAAGAAGGTTGTTGGGTCCTTTGGAACTGGAGTTATAGACCATTACCAGTTGCCATATAGATGTTGGGAACTGAATCTCTGGAGGAGCAGCCAGTACTCTTAACTATTGAGCCATCTCTCCAGACACACACACTCTTTAAGTTTGTTTTTATCATCTATTTATTATCTATCTATCTATCTATCTATCTATCTATCATCTATCTATCTAGACAGGATCTCTCAGTATAGCAGCCCTGGCCATCCTGGAACTCACTCTGTAAACCAGGCTGGCCTCAAACTCACAGAGATCCACCTGCCTTTACCTCCTGAGTGCTTCGATTAAAGGTCTGTGTCACCACTGCCCAGATTAAATTTTATTCCAAGGCAGGGTTTCACCGTGCAGTGCAAGCTCAGCCTCCAGACAAGTGTGCACCACCACCAAACTATTTAAAACTACAAAGGAGGCAGTTTAGTTGTGGTGGTGCACACCTTTAATCCCGGCATTCTCTGTGAGTTTGAGGCTGGCCAGGTGTACATACTGAGTTCCAGGACAGCCGGGGCTACATAAAGAGACCCCGTCTTAAAATAAAACTAAACAAAACGAAAGGCAGCTTAAAGGTTTGAGTAACTTTAAACACTTAGAACCTGGTCTTGTTACAAGGAAGGGTCGAACAATATGGATGCAATGTTTGCTTTTCCTTCTGGAAGGCACCTTGAAGCAGTTCCATTCTGCAGGGCCTCACAGGCAGCTGGCTTAGAATGCATATTCACAGGCTCAAGGCGCCCCTTAGTGAAAACACTCTCCTTGGAGGGCACCAGAGAAGCGGCCATAGTCCCGGCACGCTGGCAATCCATCTGAGGTCATCTATGTTGTTGGCAGGGCCATGGAGAGGGGTACGAAATCTGATATGGTGAGATGGTGGCAAAGAACAGTTTCCACAGCACTGCGTCCCACTCACGTGTGTGTGTGTGTGTGTGTGTGTGTGTGTGTGTGTGTGTGTGTGTATTTGGGGGTGGGGAGTGCAGAGCTGATAAGCCAGCTCTTCCTGGAAAACATTTCAAAATTCTATTCTCACTCCTAAGGACCCACCGTTACCTACAACACAGCATTTCACCCTCAGCACTTGGTGTTCTAAAAACGGATCCTGAATTAGCGGAGCAATTAAAAAAAAAAAAAAATCAAAGAATGAGACTGGCACTGTAGATGTTTGAAAAATTCCCTGTGGGTCATTTCTTTTGATACTAGTCATTGAGGAATAAATGTTGTGCTTTTTTTTTTTTTTTTTTTTTTTTCTGAAACTCAACAGCTAATCAAAAAGTAATAGATTTGTAGTGGGATAAATATAACTTTTTTTTTTTTTTACTTGGAATGTCCTATTTATCTGATTATTAGTATGTGCATCCTTTTTCTCCTGGTTTTCTTACAGAGAGCACTCTCTTCCCACCTCCCACCTCCTCAGAATTAATCAATAATAAAAACAAGACAAGCCAAGGTGACTGACATTTGTACGTTGTTTTCCAGTCCCCAAAGGGAAACCGGCACAGAAAGCTTGGCTCCCATGTCCCCTCCTCAGCTCCTACAGGTCCTAGAGGATCTCCCGGACATGCACAGAGACGCCACACCGGAAACAACGTGTCCTCTGGCACCTAGGGTGTTTTCTCAGTCTGTTTTCTCTCCAACATTTGATTGCTGTCTGCTGCACCCTTTGGGCCAGGAGAGATCTCCAGACCACCAGCTCATGTATTTGAAAGGCATCTGTTTATTTTGAAAATGCAAATGCGCCTACCTCAAAGACCCTACTGGGCGGGATAAAGGCTTCCAGTCTGGAGTCCTGTCTCTCACTGATTCACACCAAGGATGCTAGCCACTTAACTCAGCCCCAGGAAGCCCAGGGATGAGCCCACAATTAAACACAGCGGGCTCACCTCTCAAGAATTAGCTGGGCAGATATCCGGGGTCTGGTTTAAAGTACCTCCTCAGTGGTCCTTTACGAAAAGAACACGGAGCCTTTGAAAGGGTGGCTCCTTGTCGAGGGCTGCCTTGGAGGAGGGCAGGATCGTGGGGCCCGAGGCTCCTATCAGTGGCCGCCCAGTCCTCCGGAGCAGAAAGCAGGCAAGGTTAATGCGGACTTTGATCTCTGTCAAGGCATACCAGCTAGAATTAATTTACATTTCAGATGAAAAAGGTTGACAGCATGAAAAGGCAGCTTGTTGCTGGTATTCGAATGTGCTGTAATAGATCGGGAATTCTGAGAGGAAGTTCTAAGGAAGGGATAAGCTGAGCTGGGCTGCTTTTATAGGGAAGGAGATGAAAGGAAAACAAATTTCACTCTGTGCTGCTCTGCAGCAACATGTAGGCCAAATGCTTTCTAAATTTCAAGGGCTGCTCTTTAAAATATATATAACATATCTCAGCGACGTCATTAAATAAAAGGGGTCCATGGCAAGAGCTAGAAACACAAACAAATGCACTCCATGGAATCGAAACTTCAGTGAAATTAACCTCAGGATGGCTGTGTTGAGCTGGTCATTCCTGCTGTGTGTGTGTGTGTGTGTGTGTGTGTGTGTGTGTGTGTGTGTGTGTG